AAAAAACTTTTTGGGGCCCCCTTAAAAAAACTCCCCCCCTTTAAATACCCGTTAAAAAAAAAAAATGTTTTTAATGGAAATTCCCCCAAAATTTGGCCCCCCCAAATTTTTTTAACGGGGGGGGGGGAAAAAAAAAAAAAAAAAAAAAAACCCTTTTTTCCCCCCCGGGGGTTTTAAAAAAACAAAAATTCCCCCTTTTGGAAAACCCCTTTCCCAAAAATTTTACCGGGGTCCCCCCCCAAAAAAAAAAAAAAAAAAAAAAAAAAAAAAAAAAACCCCCCTCCAAATAATTTGTTTTAATTTTTTTAAAAAAAAAAAAAAAAAAAAAAAAAAAAAAAAAAAAAAAAAAAGTGTACTTAATAAACTCAGTTTTTGTTTCAGAACTTATCACCTCTCTCTTCAGGAAGCATGTAAATGTTTCTGAATCTCTCCAAGGCATTCCAAGTTTACCCGTTAATGACAACTTCTGCTGCCAAGAAGAGAAAACTTTTTTTTTTTTTCAACTAAACACTAGTTGTCAAGCATGAAATTCTCTCCACATATCTGTCAGGAGCAATCATTGAAGAACAGTCAATAAGATGCCTCTAAAGTGCACCATAGACTACTCACGTTAGACATTTAGGATTAACTACTGGAGATAACGTTCCTAATTTGCATACATTAACAACACTACAGCAAGTCTAAGGATTCAAACACCATTTTACCACAGTAATGCAACAGCCACCAAAGTCAAAGGTTTTCAAAAAAGTAGTAAAAAAAAGCTTTTATTAGTGCACTTCTGTACCAAAAATAAATGGTCAACACTTAAATAATGAATAAAAACAGTACAAGTCTGTGAATCACTTTTTTGCTCGCTTCCCTGGGGCTTTCTCAGTGGCTGCAGCTCCAGATTCACCGTCTTCTGCCTTCACAGCATTTTTCTTTCCTCCTTTCTTAGCCGCTGGTTCCTCTGCTCCCTCTTTTGATGCTTTAGCTTTGCTGGGTTTGGGCTTGGCTCCACCTTCCCCTGCAGCATTCTTCGCCTTTGGCTTCTTAGCAGGGGCCACCTTTGAGGCAGTGCCATTTTGCTCCGACGTCTTTGGCTTAGCATCCTGAAAGAAAGAGAAAGATAAAAAGGTGGATGCGCCGATTAAGGAGTTTCATGTTTGCTCATGTAGATAGTTTAGACAACTCACATCTGTGGTCTCCTTTTTCTTTGTGGGCTTCTCTTTGGTTGCTCCTTGAAAATAGGCAGTACAAAACACGACATGTTCATTGGAGAGGGGGGCGAGAGGAAGGGGGAAAAAAAAAAAAAAAAAAAAAAAAAAAAAAAAAGCCTTAGCCTATCACATTTCAATAAGATGACCATGCTTGGATTATTATTTTTTAATTTAAAAATTTACTTAGTTCAAAATTACATAATTGGCTCTTTTAAATAAAAATGTATAATTAAATGTTACATTATTATTATTATTATTATTATTATTATTATATAAATCTTATTTATTTAAATTTAATTTCATGGGATTAAAATGTACTAAAATTCACACATTTAATTTCTCATTTATAAAAAATTAAGTCCTCATTTATATACATTAAAAAAAATTTAAAATAAATTTCACTTAATTATCCAATTTCTTCAATTATTAATTTAACTTAATTCTTTCCATTTAAATTGATCAACTTTCAACTGTTCAAAAAGTTTACAACAGTGTGCACTTACAGACAGAAGAACAAGGAGATCTATAACACCCTACCTGAACTAATGGACAATGATTGGTTTGTTCCAAGAGCACACTCTGGTACGAGGTCAACATGCTGTACGATTTAAATGGATGTTTAATGGTTTAGATTCTTACCTCACCATTTCTTGCAGTTACAACATTTAAGTGTAATGTATTTATTTAGGCCATGTCAGCAACCAAGGCTATTTTCATGGCAGGAATATTTCAACAACAAATATACAAACAAACAAACAAACAAACAAATAAAATATATAGATGCGTTTTTCATGCATGATAAATTCTAAAATCTTTTCTGGTTTCACTGTTAAATATCCTTCAAAGAGTTAATTTCATAAAAAAAAAAAAAGGCTTCAGGAGTCAGTAAAAGCAGGACAGTCCAGTAAAATGTGTTTTACAGTAAGAGGAGTTCTGCAGCACAAACACAGAGTAGGGTTACAACACTTAAGTTTTAAAAAGGGCCATTTTAACTTAAAAGCCCCAAAGATGCTAAAGCACAAAAAATAAATAAATAAAACTTACCAAAGGCTACCCAAATAAGACTTCAGTGGGCCACAACAACTTTACATGCATTTCACACAATAAATAAATGTCATTAAGATAATTTCATGAAGATGTAGCAAGTGTCTTACAGAACACAAAACCCTAGCTGAAACTTTAGTAACTTGCATTGCCAAGCACTTCTTTCAGACACTTACATTTTCAAATAATGTCAACCAAACATAGTAAATCCATAAATAAAGTCACTGTGCATTTAAGACTCCGTATAATATTACGGGGAACATAGTTCAGGTGTACGAGTAAATGACTACTAGCATTTTTCGGTTAACACACCACTTTAAAAGCCCACTTGAAGACAGAAGCACATTACCTTCACCCTTGGCTTTGGTTGCTTTTGCCTTCTTAGGTTTTGTAGCTTTTGGTTCATTGGGATCAGCATTTTCCTTTGACTGAGCCTTCGCTTCTTTTGCTTTGGTCTTGGCAGCAATCTGGATTTAGGACACAAAAGATAAAGCAGAATAGAAATACACCAAAGCCTCAAATTAATAGAACATGGTGAATTAAATTACCCGAAAGCGTCCCTGAGCACCCGTCGTTGACCCAGAATTAGCAGGTCGCACAAACACACCAGTGTCCATGCCTTTGTTCAGGGCTCGCCGCACCATATACTTCAGTCTAGTCTCGTCTACAGTGGTGTACTTTTCTTTAATGTAGCCACGAATAGCCTGAGCGGAAACACCTTTTCTGGAGTCCAGCTCTTTTAAAGCTTCTTTCACCATCTCCATGGTGGACGGGTGTGGAGAAACCTTGCGTGCTGCAGATTTTGCGTTGGAGTCTTCAGGAGCTGCTGAGACCGGACGAAAAGTCCAAAAACATGGTTAGACTGAAAAACAATGTCATTTACTGCAAATACCACATACATTCTTTAGTCAACTACTGTAATATGCACTGCATTGTGGGTCACTTTAATGCTTTTACAGTAACTTACTGCATGTTAAAACCTTTTGGTATTCTACTGTAATTGAAGTACTGCTACTGTAGTTAAAGAAAAATGGGTCACTTGTTTGGGATTTATTGGATGCAATACTAAAAATAAGGTTTACTGCTAGTGTAATTAAAAGGAAGAGTTCTGTAAAAATAGTTACTCAAATTTAGGTGTGGTATACACAGTTACAGTAAGGCCATTTTACTATAAAGTGAAATTGCATCAGGGCCTGCTGCTGGAAAACATTAATAGGAAACTTACTGTAAAGATCAGTTGCGGTAACTTGCTGGCAACAGTGCAGTCACTCACTATTGTTGCCTTGAACTAACACAAAGCTCAATTGTACCCTCCCTCCCCCATCAGCCAGCACCCGCATTGCATTTTACCTTCCGAGCCAGACCACCCTTACATTATCGACGATTCAGTTTAACAGGAAGATAAACGCTCTTGCTCAGCACAGTAGAGATTGCTTTAGTTAAATGGTTCTGTATTTTTAGTTGTTTGGGACGCAGCAAGTCAAATATTTGCAGAACAGATCCACCACTTTTGATGCTCATAAATCATAAGCCCTCATGCTGCAAGTATTAGGAGGTTTTCTGAAGGTGAGGGGTTTGCATCTTTACTAAACTGACAGATCACACTATTAAAAAAAAAATAAAAAAAAAATAAAATTACAATAAAATAAGTAAATAAATAAAATAAAACATCAGTCTTGCGCTCCTCGCTCACATAAGTGTAATACTCCAAGCAAAACCAAACCATGCTCTAGCACATCTTCCAACTGTGCCAAGACCAGATAAGTGAACTGCACCTGGGCCCGATCCACAGCACTCACTTGGCAAACAAGTCCAGTTCAAATACAACAGTGCATTTAAGTTCTTAAAGCATTTTCTAGAAATATAAAATTAATTTTTCAGAAGATAGTTAAGTGGGTTTTGCCCTTCTTTAAACAATTAGCCAACAGTGGTCGGGGAAAAAAATACATTGTACAAAATTACCTAATTGGCTGATTTATTTGCTAGTTTTATTGGGAGAAAAAAAAAAAAAAAAAAAAAAAAAAAAAAAAAAAAAAAAACACCTGACTAAAATCAAATTAACATTAGTCAAACTACAAAGTAAAACTCTGATAACTTCAGGTTTCAGCTAAAGTCAGATCAACAAACTAGTGTTGACGGTCACTACATTTATAACAAAAAAAAAAAACTAACAGAGCTTAAGTTTTATACTCGCACAATCATATTTGAAAGTGACATGGTAAATATGGGTTATCACACTGCTTGAAATTGCCAGCCTGATCAAGAAAAAGGCAAGTATTTTACTTTGGTCACCAAGTGGCTAATTCACAGTTCAGTTGTACAATTTTAAAGAGGCATATCACCCAATCCAACCCCTAAACCCAACAGTCATTGGGTGAGCAAATAATATATTTTTTTAATTAAAAAAAATAAATTAATAAATAATAAAAAAAAAAATAATAATAATAATAATAATAATAATAATAATAATAATAATAATAATAATAAATAAATAAAACCTATAAACATACCCAAATCTTTATTCTTTTAAATTCTTTTAATTAACCCCGTTTTCCTATAGTTCACTATACTTTCATTGTTATAGCCTCAAAGTATAATTTTTATGCTGATTTGAGAAGAGTTTTGTTGTAGAATTTCTCTTTAATATTTCTCTATTATGAATTTCTTGCAATGACAAAACGTATTCGACCAACTCCTCCACCTAACAATTACACAATCCAGTTGGACGTTTTCCTTTTAACAGTGTTATTATTCCTTCTATTTTATCATTTCCTTTACCCATCTTTCAATTTCCTACTTTCTCCCGTATAGTAAATGTCCACCCATTATATCCCCATCCCAATTACATTGCCACAGTTTTAATATGTCCTTCTTAACCAACTTTTGCTTCTGTTTTACTTAAGATATTCATAATTTAGTCAAGTTTGCAAGCTTTAGCAAAAAAAGGTGCAGTTTAAGTTCCTTTAATGCCTATAGGCATCCACAAATTTTTATTATAACATTTGCTCTGAAGTCTAAATAAATTTCATACACTTCGTATATGCAATCCTTCCTGTTCTTTGATGCTATGGACTTAATGCTGAACTACAGCTTGAACATAACCACTTTAAGCCACTTCCCTCCGTCCAATACAGTGCAGCAATTATAGCCATCAGCTCTACAGCATTTGTTAGTTTGTTGTCCTTTTCTTAATTGATGGCTAATTTTGGTACAAATACACCAAACCCTGTTCTGCCCGAATAAAAATTCACTGACCCACCTGTGTATACTCAAGTATATTGTTTATATTTTGTCAATTTTAACAATCATTGTCAGCTAATGATTTCCCAATTCAGAATTTGCAAATACTAATCTAAAAACTACATTGAGAAACAATTTGCAAATATAAACAAAGCTAACCCCATTAACTTTAACGAATAGGCAATTTTCTAGCAGTATATAAACAAACAAACAAACTCTACTTACCTGGTTTAGTTTCAGTGGTCTCATTCTCAGAGCTCTTTGTAATTGTGGCTGTCGGCTCTGCAGCTGCTTTTTTTGGAGCCATTTTAAAAGCAAAACAGAGGATCAATAAACTTAAAACAGAGTTAAATCACAGCAGCATGAGCTGAAGCAGCGTGTGTGTCTGCTTTTATTACTGGAAAGCAGTCTTTGTGGATGGCCATCACCTGTTCATCATTAAGTTGTTAGTCCGAAATTAATTAGCCACATTACATGATTGGTTAAGCTGTCAGAGAAATAATTAGCTGAAGCTAAAGTGAATATGCCTGCCGTTTGTTTTCTGAGGGCTCTGTTCGGTGTCAAACAGACTAAAAAGAGATGATTGAAAGTAGTCATGTTGACGTTTTAGGTAGTGGTGGGCAAAGCGAGGCTTCGTGAAACACTGAAACTATCGAAGCAAATGTGTCGAAGCTTCGAAACGTTTCGAAACACCACTCTACGGTGACACCTAGTGGTCATTTTATCTGTATTTCACTGAAACAGCTTCAGCAAAGAACAATTGAGCAAATTGATGTATCAAATCCCACTTTGTAGCCTTGACTCATCAAATGGTTTAGTCGAGCGGTTAGAGTACGTAACTATCATGCGGGAATAATGGGTTCGAATCCAGAGTGTTACAATGCGTTGAAATGCTTTACTACCAGTTGGTAATGCTTTGTTATTGTATCGTTTTGTTTCAACATTGCTCTGACATACGAATAAACATTTGTAAATAAATTTGTATTGTTTTGTTCATATAACAGGGTTGTTACTAGATCAGATACAGTTGTGGCCAGAAGTTAACAATAATTATTTATATTATTAATTAAATTTCCCATTGTATTTTATTAACGTCTATCCAAAACCTAAACCCATCACAGTACTGTAAAAATATGAATTATTGTTTTACAGTGTTACAAAAATGATGCTAAATTGATGGTGTATCCGCAGCTGTATCCTATCTAGGCTACACCATAAAACAGTAACATGATTAAAATACATAAAATCAGGATTTTAGAGTATTTGTAATAATCGAGATTCGAACCATTACAGTTCCGTAGTACACACGTACGGTCCACTAGGCCATACAAGACGGAGAATGAAGAATGATCATGCCAGTTAAATGCAGATTCTTCGGGTCTTGAAACGCCTCTGAAATGATCGATGCTTTGAATCGCTTTTGTCACGTGACCAAGTGTTTCGAAACACTTTAGTCACGTGACCTGGGTGTTTCGGATCATGCTTCGGTACAGTGTTTCGAAACACTTGCGCTTCGGGATCTCGACACTGTGTCGAAACGTCAGTTTCACGTCAGCCATCCCTAGTTTTAGGTTGTGTACAAACTGACAGAGCATTTATTAATCTTAGTTCATGTTTATTTCAGCATTAAAAACAGTTAATGAACAAACATTAAACAACATTTTAGTTAACTGCACTGCTGATATATTTTTACTTGAATTTTTACATAATAAAGTTTAACATGACATACAACTTTAGAATATCCAGTAAAAGTAGAACCTTTGTAAATTGAAATTATTCATTTAAGATAATAATAATTACAAAACAAGGTTCATTAATATTTTAAAAAAACAGCCCAATAATAAACCTTAGGGATGTGTGCAGTTTGTGTTTATTTATTTTTTTTTATTTGACGTAACCTTTATCCCTAGTGGCTGAAAATTAAACTGCATGCAATTTGCTGAAGAGTGCTAATTATTTTTTGATCGACAAATGTGCATTTCGAGGCTCTGCTTTGCATACAGGACACATATTAAAGCCAAATTAACTAAAAGTCCCCGATGTTTGGCGTTTGAATGACCTGAGGTAAGTTTTTTTTTCTAATACATGACAGATCCAAGTTTCGCGCTACTTTTTCTGTTTACTGAAATGGCGTCCGTGTATGTAAGCTATATTCCCCGTGAAATCCATTCTCTAATGCTCTTAAATATACAGTAATCATTATGTTCATTACAATGTATTTGCGTATGTGACTCTGAATTACAAAAGCAATGTTGCATGGCTATATTTTAGGAAGATCCAAAAATAGCATTGTATGGGTCAAAATGATTTTATTTAATCGCAAAAATTATTAGAATATTAAGTAAAGATAATCTTCCATGCAGGTTTTTTTTTTTTTTTTTTGTATAAATTTGTTTACTTTTAGTTACTTTCAAGGCTTAGTTTTTGCTTAGTTATATGCATTGAATAGATATTTGGACAACTTTAAAGACAATTTTCTCAATATTTAGATTTTATTAACCCTCAAATTCCATATTTACAAATTGTTAAATTCAATAATTGTATATACCTATTTTAACAAACCATACATCACAAGAAAGTTTATTTATTAAGCTTTTAGACTGTGTTTAAATCTTAATTTCCAAAATATGACACTTAAGACTGGTTTTGTGATCCAGGCCGGGTCATATGTGATTTAGCTTTTTCTAATCACAAAAAAGTGTAAATTAATAATGTTAATTAATTCTGTAGCTTTTTTTTTTTTTTTTTTTTTTTGCACTTTCAAAAACATCCTAAAGTGATTCTGAAACTAGTTGGTTTGATCCAATGCTTTTTATTGAAGCTGTGAGAAATCCCTCTGGAGGAAACTAATTGGGAAAATATACTGTATGTTCATCTGGAAGCTCGGCTGCTGAGAAAAGTCACTGTTAGCCTATACTTGCTTTTCTCTCTCCCTCTTTCTTCTTCTGTAACACCTCATCCTTTCTGCTCTTTGTGTACAATTATTCTTGTCAGAAAGTAGTTTACCATAAATTCTTAAACCTCCTCAACGCTGACCGCAAGTTGACCACTGCTGACCAGCCGCCTAAACTTCTCTTTGAAAACCCAGCTCTAACGCAAATAACCGCCATGCAGCAGGAACGTCTTATTAAACTTGATTTACTGCCTTGTTTTGCTTCTTTAAAATTACTTCAGCAAAGATAAATTGACTTTCCCCAAAGGGTCATGTGGAAAGAAAGATGTTGTTCCATTCTGAATTGAAGGAACACTCCACTTTTTTTTTTGGAAATGGGCTAATTTTACAAATCAGCACTTTTAGCCTAGCTTAGCTTAGCATAAATTAGACATTGAATCAGATTAGACTATAATTAGCATCTCAGAATGAGAGTGTAGTTATTAGCCATGTCAACCTAGAAAACTTTTCATTTTCCATGGGTCTTAGTTCACGATGTAACTACAGAAGAGTCAAACCTTAAAAAGGAGAGTTATCAAAACCTAATTTGATTCAGTGGTTTAATTTATGCTAAGCTAAGCTAAAAATGCTCCCGCCAGACCCGGAGATTGGCTAAAAGGATTCATATATGGTAAAACTCAACTCTTTAACTATATGGGTGTTGTAAAGTGAGCATTTGAGTGTTCTTTTAAGTATAAATGCAATGTTTTGACATGTTAATGGCAGAATTAATCATACAGTATATGGTGCCCCTACTGAAAAAAACAGCTTAAACCAGCCTAGGCTGGCTGGCTGGTTTTAGCTGGTTGACCAGGCTAGTTTTAGAGGGAGTTTGGCCATTTCCAGGCTGGTTTTAAGCCATTTTCAGCCTGGTCTTAGCTGGTCAGGCTGGAAGATGACCAGCTAAATCCAGCTTGACCAGTCTAGCCAGGCTGGGAGCCCAGCCAAAACCAGCAATGTCCTGCTTAAACCAGGCTGGTCAAGTTGGTTTTAGCTGGATTTAGCTGGTCATTTCCAGCCTGACCAGCTAAGACCAGGCTGGAAATGGATGGAAACCAGCCTGGAAATGGCCAAAACCCCTCTAAACCCTGGCTGGTCAACCAGCTGCTAAAACCAGCCAACCAGCCTAGGCTGGTTTAAGCTGTTTTTTTCAGCAGGGGCACGGTAAGTGCTCTTGCCAGACCCGAAGTTTGGCTGAAGTGATTAAAAAATGGTAAAACTCAACTGTTTAACTCCTAGGAGAGCTGTAAAATAAGCATACTTGATCAAAAAACTGAGTGTTCGTTTAAGTTTCGACAAATTATTGACAAAAATAATTATTAGCATATGATGCATGGTAATTGCTCCCACCAGACCCGAAGTTTGGCTGAATGGATTCAGAAATGGTAAAACTCAACTGTTTCTATAAGAGTTAACCTTTATTAGCCACATTAATTAGCATCACTCAGCGATGCAATGTCAGACACAATGCACTAAATGGAGCAAGTGACATCACTGTGATGGGTAGGGTAAGGGGTGGAGTTAGGTGAGCCCATTAAAAAGCATTGGATGCAGCTCAAATTGCACTGCACTTGGTCTGCATCCAGACCCCTCTCCATATTGATGCAGTTACAAACAGTAAATTGGATGACCATAAGTAACTCTGGAAGCACTGACTATAATATTAGATGAGCTGAAGTGTACTGGTCTTTGTCTCGTAAGTTCATTTGATCATAGTGCATCTGTTTATTATTCACTTTCTGTTCATTAGGCTGTAACACATGCTAACTCATAACTGAGGACATGTTGGTCTGTGTGTTGTGTGTGTGTGTGGGAGTTTCCATACATTTGTGCACACACACGTTCAAGGACGGATCATTTGGTTTTGATTTTGCCCAACATCTGGTTACAATATGAGTGTTTGTCTTTCAGTAAGTGGCGGTTGTGTGTGTGTGATTGGAGTTCAGACTGTGCTTGTGTGTGGACACGTGTAGTGTAGATCACACGGGTTTGTGTGTGTTGCTGTTTTTTTAACCCATTTATATGAGAGCCATGTTACACTCCCCATGAGATGAGATTACTGTTATCCATAGCTTGGCTTTAACCACAGTACATTTCATTTTCTCTCTCTCTCTCTTAGGTGTAGTTGTTTCAAACAGTTTATACAGTATATACATACATATATATATATATATATATATATATATACACACACACATATACACACATACATATATATATATACACACATATATATATATATATATATATATATATATATATATATATATATATATATATATATATATATACACACACACATACATATACATCAATTTGATTGTGTCAAAGCTGAACATAGAAGTTCTAGTAAATTGAAACTGTGTCAGTCTGGTGTTCAAAGTTCAGTTTAGTTTAGTTCAGTTAATTTTCACTGCTGTAAGTCCAAACAC